CTTTCTATTTTCGGTGCGAGCGGCATAACACACATTCGGATAAACGACAAGCTTTATAACCCCAGCCACCGGACGTGCTCTCCCCCCGCCCCCCCCGCCCCCCACGCGCGTCCAAACTATATTCTGGATTGCCATGCCATGATGGAAATTTCCGTATCACACGGAAAACCGTACGGTTGTGAAATAACGTGAAATAACGTGCGATGAAAATGGAACAATAAAACCAACGAAAAGAGACGTGTGTGGGCCACAGCCCGAGCCCAGTGGAACGTGTAAGATGTCTTGGCAGTCCCATGAACCTTCCGCGGGGAAAGAAGCAATGGCGTGATGAGTCCGACCAATCCACCAGTACCATAACAGAGTACCTAGGTTGATGAGACAACTGAATACGAGAAAATGAGTCCGATAAACCTTCCGCGGGGTAAATTAAGAGTAAATATAAACGAAAACAAGAAAAGAAGGGCGAGATCATGCAGTCTGACCGCAAACATCGAGACCACTCCCAAAAAGAGCAAGGCGCAACAACACCAGCACCGGCACCAGCAACGACGACGACTTCGACAACAACAAAACCGTCGCCAGCCGTACCAGTAGCAACAAGAGCAACCTCGACGACGACGACAATCACAAAGCACAACAAAACAATCGCCACCACTCCACCCCAAACACAACAAGGCATCTAACATACTTGTTGCTCGTGTTCGCGGCAGTCTTGGAGTTCATGGCGGCAGTCAGCGTGAGGTTGATCTTCTCCACCAGCCAGTCGAAGAGCGACGAGTACAGAGCCTTGGCCACAGCATCCCGCGCAGACGCCGCCACCTTTTCCACAACAAACCCCCCCAAAAGAACGTCAACAATCTAACAAAGTGCGTGTTTCGTTTGGGTTGTTTTAATCTTCAGTTTCAAGGACCCAATATCGGCGACATGCACCGTGGTTTTTTTTCCCCTTTCGTGGATTTCTTCCTCATCTCCGGCATTACTTCCTCAGCCCGATATTTTCCAACCGTGTTTTTTCATGTTAAGATCTGCAGCTTGAGTGTGTTTGGTTTCGGCATTGGGTGTCTTATCGATTTCGGTTTGAGGACGCAATAACGCAATGGCATAAAACGGTAAGCGTGTGTTCGTCTCTCTGGCGAGAAAACGCCAGGCGTGGCCAAGATACAGACTCACTCGAACGTGCTAGACTCTTGAAAGGGTGAACCGAATGTGAGCCCGCGACACCCTTGTCAGATTCATCCGGATGGCTGCAATTCGCTACTCGTTACGGAATCGCACCAGGGGCGAGCTGGGCACCACCACAAAGTCGGCGGAGCCGAATCCCCCGGGGTTGATGAAGCGGGCCACCAGCGCCTCCTCCAGCTGGTCTGGCTTCACCCCCAGGAGCTTCGAGGCCCAGGACAGGCTAGAGTCCTCCCCCCTCTCGCTGACCTGCACAAAGGTGGCGCGGGGGGGCGAACGGACAGTGGTGACAAACCAGAAACTACGTCCACCTCGTTCGGCGTTGAATCACCTTAAATAATCATTGCTGGGGCTTCGCCCCTCCTGCGCATACAAGACAAAAACAGCAGGATCATCTCGAGTGATCCTCCCTCTCGCTGACCAGCAAAAAAAAACGCGGTACACAACACGGGCGGCGGACAGTACTATTGTACCACGTGGAAGGGTTGGGTAGTACATACACCAGGCATGCCTCCAGGGACTCCGCCATAACAAAAAACGAAATCCATACGTGTGGGCTAAGACGCGGTTACGCACCTTCGAACCAACGTCTTGGCCCGGTATGTCTACCATATCGAACTCCACGTTCAGGAGGTGCAGAACGGCAGCGACCACCTGCGATATTACGATAAGGGTGGAATTGATTATATTCATCAATAAACTACACTGCTGTTTCATCTCAAACCTTGGGTAGCAACAGCATCAGGACACCAGCAAACAGTGGAGCTACACAACAGCTGCAGCAGCAGCAGCAGCAGCAGCAGCAGCAGCAGCAATAACAATAAAAAAGTGCTACAGCACCAAACAACACTCCACCCGTCCCACAACAACACCAGCTTACCCTGAACACCCCCTCCTTCGCCTCGGACCCAATCCCGATGCTCTCCATGCACCTCGCCGTCTCCGAAAAGCCTTCGGCATCGTCCATGCTGTCGATCTCGACGCAGCCTCCACCGGTCTGACAATAACAACGTCGATCGATCGATATTTTGCCCAGCAAACATCAAGGGAGGGAGAGAGATCAGTCTACTGAGGGCGGCCCCGCACGTCGAGGAAGAGACACAAGTCCATCGATTGGCCCGCAAATCGAGCGCAAAAAAGAGACACAGGTCCTTGTTACCTTACGAAGGGGTGTGTGCCATTCAGATCGACAGTGCGACTCCGACTTTCATCGAGAAACAGCAATCGGGCGCTACGACGATCTCCAATGCTTCCCTCACCCCCCAACAAGTACCGAACACCTCTCGAACACCGTCTCCTCTAAGAACGCCTCTTCCACTGAGACTTCATTTGGTCTGTGTAAAGGGTGTGCGTGTGTACTCACAGTCATCCATGCCGTGGTCGTTCGACCATTTTGACCTCGCATCCGTGCACAGCCGGGGGGGGGGGGGGGGGG